TGGACAGAGTCTGGAGTAGGTTTGCCTCGAGCCACTCCCAGTGTTCAGTGATCTCCTTACGAGACGAGCCTGCGCCACACACACACACACACACAGATCCATCAGAGCAGTGGTGTTTACTGTGGCACAGCCTTTAATATGTCACTCAGATTCAGGGCTGTAGTTTAAAGGTCAGGCGAGATACAGTGAATGTTAATGTGGGCCATGTGACTCAACAACACACTCTCTCTCCAGATTTTCATCACTGCACTCGACGGCGAGATGTCGGAACAAAATGGCCCTGGGTAAAACAACGACGACTTGTAAAGCCAAAGAGTGACTATTTAGGAAAACAGCCTGTTTCCTTTGTTACCAGACTATCTAACCCATGTGTCACCTGACTAAACACGTCTAGACAAATCAACGGTTATCTAGTTAACAGATGTGCTTCTTTTGATGGATTAATCATTTGAGTACTCCGGGTGGATCCCGTCCAGGGTTATTATCGTCAACTAAAACCATAAAAAAAAATACGCCATTACTTGAAATAAAATGAAACTTTATCAAAGTTTAAGTTAACAAAAAAAAAAAAAAATTATTCCAGTTAAACAACTTCATTTTTGCTGAAGTGCTTAAGTTAAAGTATTAAAAATAAATTATTTAAAATAAAAAAACGAATAAAAATGAGAAAAACAATCTTTTACTAAATGACAGAAAACATAAAAAATAAAATCGAACTCAAAATATTATAATAGTATAAATAGTAATAGTAAAAATATAATAGTATATATTATTTTTGCGTTTACTAGTATGTTTTTATGCGTTTACTAGTATTTTTAGAAAAAATGTCTGTAATTTGTGTCTACTAGTATTTTTGTGTGTTTACTAGTATTTTTTGGAAAAAAATTTTTAATTTCTGTCTATTAGTATTTTGTGTTTACTAGTATTTTTTGACAAAATTTAGTGTAATTTGTGTCTACTAGTATTTTGTGTTTACTAGTATTTTTTGTTTATTAGTATTTTTGACAAAATTTAGTGTAATTTGTGTCTAGGCCTACTAGTATTTTGTTTTTACTAGTATTTTTTGTTTACTAGTATTTTTGACAAAATTTTGTGTAATTTGTGTCTAGTAGTATTTTGTTTTTACTAGTATTTTTTGTTTACTAGTATTTTTTTGACAATTTTGTGTAATTTAAAATTTTGTGTACTTTGTGTCTACTAGTATTTTTGTTTACAAGTATTTTTTTTTGTTTACTAGTATTTTTTGACAAAATTGTGTAATTTGTCTACTAATATTTTTGTTTACTAGATTTTGTTTTATGTTTACTAGTATTTTTAGACTAATTTTAATGTAATTTGTGTTTACTAGTTTTTTGTTTACTGGTATTTATTTTATGAGTTTACAAGTATTCTTAGACAAAATTGTGTAATTTGTGTCTACTAGTATTTTTTTATGCGTTTACTTGTATTTTTTTGTCAAAATCTTGTGTAATTTGTCCGTTCAATCGGAAGGCTCAGTTTTGTATCCGCGCTGACTGAATCATGGCTTTCAAATCTCCACACAGAGCACAAATAACTAAATGAGCTCCTTTCGTGTCTTCTTGCGCTTTAATATTTATATTGCTGAGATGTTTGATGATGCAGCGCTGGCCCATCAACCGTCCCTCGTTTGTTTACGTTCATGTTCTCACAGCATTGCATTGTTAGAATACATTAAAATGTTACCAGCCAACTGGTGAGTTTCATACTCTCGTTTGGCGCTTGGCGAGTGCTAATTTTAGGCCTTTGGTATATAGGTCACACAATAGGACAGAAAAGACTAGTTCAACTTCAGTTTCATGCCGAGTTTAAGTACAGACCACAAGCGATGTTCCAGAAGATCTGAGACTCTCCCGTCTGGTGCAGGATCCTGTACGGCGCCACACGAGCACTCGAGTCCAACACCACGTCCAACGTACCCACCAGCAAGCCTGAGAGAGACAGAGAAGGGTTAAAGGATGTCTTTCTTTCTTCAGTGGAAAATAAAAAAAAATTTTAGGAAAACATTTCAGGATTTTTCTCCACATGATGGACATCAATTGCAACCAACATGTTGAAGTCCAAATCAATGCAGTTTCAAAGGGCCCAGCTGAGGAACAGGATCTTATCTAGCGAAACCAGCGGCCAATTCCTAAAAACGTCATTTCTTTTCCACTGAAGAAACACATGAACATCTTGGATGGCACTGGGGTGAGTAAATTATCAGGAAATGTTCATTTTGAGGTACTCTCATGTGGGCGGCTCCAATAGCAGCAGGGGTTTGGTTGTCATGGTAGCGAGGGAGAGTGACAGTCACCCAGCCAATCAGTGCATTCGATCCCTGAGCGGACTACAGACACACTCCTTTTCAGAGTACTTACATTTTAGATATCAATTGGTATTTAAAGACATTTTAAACATATTTGGGGAAAAGTGTTTTAGAAATAAACTGCAAACCCTGACTTTAACATGTCGTCGCATCCTCGTGCTGTGTGGAGCGAAACAGCCACAGTGGTTTTCTTCAGTTCCCATTGCTTACACACTCACACACACATTCAGCTAGATAAACACTCGTGAGCGTGAGAGAGAGCTTCAGAGGAATTTAAGACATTCGTCACACACACAAACGTCTTGACTTCCTCTTACGACGGTCACGTAATCAGTTCGTGTGTGATGCTAACGGAGAGATAAACACTGAGGCTTCTTCAAAGGCAAAACTGTGATCTATTAAGCAATGAACATTACACAAACTCATAACAATCTCACCCGTATGACGCAACTTCCAGACAACAACAGGTTAATGCTGAGGTCTACCTAATGCAATTGAGTTTATAGTTGGGTTCAGAGGTGAATGAGTCATTCTGCTGTCATGTGATGGATGAGTCTGTTTCTCTCTGTTTGGTTTTAGGAGCCAGGGAGACACATATGAATGTCTTTCTCAGGAGGGAAAACAAGTCAATATATTCTCATGACACCCAAACCATTTGTGATGAGAGATTTTTCTGCAATTAAGCTCAAATATATACATACATTTATACTGTGTGTGTGCATAAGTCTATATGTATGTATGTGTATATATATGTGTGTGTCTGTGCATGTATATATGCATGCATGCATATATATGCGTGTGTGTGTATCATGTAATCTTTAAGGGGAATGTTAAATACCAAAGGATCATCATATCTGAAGGGTTGCAACTGAGGTAAAAAAATAAATAAATAAAGCAAGTTGTGTGTTATAAAACGAGGCACCTAGTTTTGAAATGTTAAACTTATCATTACAACCATATATTATTTATTATGTGTTACTAGAACAATAACGAAAAAAAAACACAGCGTTAAACCATGCACTAACAATTATAACGGTTACACGTAATGTCATGTATAAATAAATAAACAGATGACGCAAACAAACTCAGCATCAATGAAGAGATGCACCCTAAACAACCCCACTAACAGATGTTCCCAAATGTCCCAGTGAACCAGGAGCACGCATATCTCCCAGTACACTATACTTCATGATTCACGAGTAATCTGTCATGCAAACGGCAGCAATGGTTTATATTCGTGTCGTACCCGTGATGCCTCCTCCGCGGCCGTGTCCCTTCCTTCTCTGCAGGATGAAATACGGATTGGCCCGCTCGCTCACCCACAGCGCGTTGGCCAGTAACACCTCCTCCGGGGTAATCCACATGGCTTCACGGGCTCTTTTATTCTCTAGCTGGGGTAAATGTGTGAGATTTAATCATGCCAGAATCGACGGGGGACTCAGCTGATGTTTGTTTGTCTGCATGAGCCGCCCAACTCACCGCGACCGCGAGCGAAACCTGCCACAGCGAGCCGCTGGAGTTTATCACACTTCAAAATAAAAGTCCGTAGTACTGTGGATAGTAAATATAAATCATATTTATTGTGATGATAAGTGCTATACAAACAAATAAAAAAAAAATATATTCCTTTTTATTTATTCCTTGACTACAATATTTTGAAAACATAATTTAGTCTATTCTATTCATGTAGAGTTGAGTTGTAAATTTAGTGTTAAGCGTTGAGTTGCAATGCACATTTATGTCCAGGTGGCGGCAGTGTTGCACCCTAGAATAAGTGGTTAAAGCGATAGATAGATAGATAGATAGATAGATAGATAGATAGATAGATAGATAGATAGATAGATAGATAGATAGATAGATAGATAGATAGATAGATAGATAGATAGATAGATAGATCTACATATATAGAGAGACCTACATATATAGATAGATATAGATATATATATATATATATAGATAGATAGATAGATCTACATATATAGAGAGACCTACATATATAGATAGATATAGATATATAGATATATAGATAGATAGATAGATCTACATATATAGAGAGACCTACATATATAGATAGATATACATACATAATATATAGATAGATAGATAGATAGATAGATAGATAGATAGATAGATATACCTACATATATAGGAATATAGATACCTACATAGATAGATAGATAGATCTACATATCTAGAGAGACCTACATATATAGATAGATATACATATATAGATATACCTATAGGAATATAGATACCTACATAGATAGATAGTTAGATCTACATATATAGAGAGACCTACATACATACATAGATATACATATATAGATATATAGATACCTACATAGGCCTATATAGGAATATAGATAGATATACATAGATAGATAGATGGATAGATAGATAGATATACCTACATAGATAGATAGATCTACATAGATCGATAGATAGATATACCTATATATATATAGATATACCTAGATAGATAGATAGATAGATAGATAGACCTACATATATATATATATATATATAGATAGATAGATAGATAGATAGATAGATAGATAGATAGATAGATAGATAGATAGATAGATAGATAGATTCATTTCTAACTTTATCATTTTTATGTATATTTTTGGCATGAAAAGAATCAGACAAAAAAAACGAATAAAAAACAAAAACATCCATGTTCAATTCTATTTTATTTTTACATTAGATCAGTACACATACTGTCATTATTGCAGCACATTTTTACAAAAGAAGGTTCTTGGGAAAGGCCTGCGGTATCTTCAGACTGAGGAGTGCATGAAAAAAAGGTTGTTTGTTTTCAACTCCATCCTAATTTATAAATAATAATAATTATTATTATGCCGACAAAGAGCTATTAATCAAGTGTCAGATGTCAAAGACACATGAGCTCATTGTAAAGATCTTCTCCTTCTCTGCCACCAGTAATGATCTCAGTGTCGGACTGAAGCACGAGAAGCACCAGATCAAGAGCTCTTCTCCAGGCTTCAGTCTTCACCGTCATGTTATCATACACACCAAAATCCCCTAACACGGGTTCCCCATCCTCACAACGTCTCCTCTGACGTGCGATCGCTGTCCAAGCCTCGGCTTTCGACGCCACAGACCCGCTGTTCAGCATCAAAGTGGAGACGTAGTCCATCCAGGCGTCGGCCATGAGCTCCAGCACCAGCTTTTCCAGCGGGTTTTCCGACTGGTATTGGCGTAGTTTGTGGATGCAGAGGATCTCGGTGACTCCCGATCCACGCAGGAGCTTCCCATCTTTGAGCGCTTGGTGCAGTCGGTGAGCGCAGCTCCAGAACTCGTCCTCCAGGATCTGCAGTTTAGCGGGAACAGAGCTGGTTATAACCGCAGTGACCAGAGACGAGTTCGCGCTCACGATCCAGGCGGATTCATGTCCCTCGCATCGACTGAGCGTCACTCCCCGGCCCACGCAGCGCTCGTCCAGCTGAGTGATGTAGGACACCGGGACGGCACCGGTGCGTGCGCTGAAGTCCTTCAAAACGCCGCTTTTAACGCCTTCGATAAACAGGACGCTTGAACAGCGATCTTTGAGTTTGTCATCGACCGCGCCGTGTGCGAGCACAACACCTACGCCCAACGCGTGCACGATCCTCAACGCAGTCTCAATCCAGCGCTCTTCCACACTCGCGCTTGACGCGCGGTCCGCGATGCGCGTGATGTTCGCAGGCCTGTTGAAGCCCACGTGACGATACGTCTCACGCAAATCGCCGCTCACTAAAGCGATATTTAACCTCTGACCCTGTAGGCTCTGAACCACTGAGGCCTGCTGGACCGAGAGCAGCGTGACGTAGCCGTGTAACGCGCATGAACGCTCCTCGGACGGGCCCGGGATGCAGCACGTGACCAGTTTTTGGATATCCAAATCTTGCGTGGATTGCAACTTGCAAGCTTTTAAAACTAAACGCATTGAGGATTCGCATCCGTGGCTGACGGCCTCCGCGATGCTGCTCGTGTCGTTCGCAGCGTTTTCGTGTGAACCAAAGTGTCTGCTGTGTTTGAGTGTCCGCCTGAGATCATGAGGGTGTTCAACATCCATGCATTGCACCTCTGTGTCCCGAAGCTCAGGTTTAAGTCTCCTGCGGGAAACTTCTCGCACACTTACAGCCGATTGTTGGCACACCTGCAGACTCACCTCCAGGGCTTTTCTCATGGCTGTTTTGATGTCCAACACACTTATCCCTCTGTTGAGACACTCCTGTGCAACTCTGCTCCAGGCTCCAGTTAGAAACACCAGCGCGCCCGTCCCGGAGTGGAAGAGCTTCTGCTGGGCCTGGACCGTCTCATGCAGGAGCTGTCCGGCCGAGCAGTCCAACTCGAGGCGCTGAAGCAGACGAGGACAGGTGCTGACCAACACCGGGTCTTCATCCCGGATCCACTTCAGGAGTTTGTTGGGGCCGAGGAAGGTGTGTGTGGAGGCTGATATGGCCTCTAAATGCTGGAGTCCAATATGGCGGCGCTCAGCGACACTTCCAGACATCTGTGGAAGACATGTTTGTAATTTAATCATTGTGAGAAGAAGGATAAAACAATGCCAAATGTAAATAATAAAATGCAACCGATACACTATGCTACATGCAAATGTAGTCTTTTTTGTAATCCTTTATTAGACTTAATAATTTGTGCATTTATAATTTGCATGTATTTTTTGTGTGAAAAAAAAACATTCAATAAAACAAAATCTTTTGTCAAATTCAACATCTTTTTCAACATGAAAAATAACGGAAATATTTCTAACAGCACACGTAATGTTATTATTAAAGCCTGTTTTTACCAAACGTTTGCAGTGTTTTGGGCTAATTCTGTAAATGATCAAATGCAACTAACCATATACATAAAAATAAATGATCCAAAATTGAATAATTTAGTCTTTTTGACTTCTTTTTGAGGTATTTTTGTAACCCTTTATTAGACTTAATCATTTGTAAATGGATAATTTGCATGTATTTGCTTGTATAAAAAACATCAAATTAAAATAAAATATTTTCTATGTTAACTTCAACAATTCAGGTCATGAAATATATCGTAAATATTCATATATCAGCACACGTAATGTTATTGTTATTGTGCATTTTTACCAATTTAATATAATTAAATTGCATATAAATAAGGCTGTGGATAGTGGGAAAACAAAAATGTAGCTTATATACATATTTTTAGCTCAATACATATCAACTTCTAAAGGGAACCAGACGATGCTTGCAATATCTTCCAATCAAATTCAAAGTGATGAATTATTGGCAACTGAAACTATGAATTATTGCCTACTGATTTTTCCTGTTGAAAAACACTGATTTTTGACACTTTTATGACAGTGACGTACATTAACACTTTAAACTGAGAACTTTTATGTTCTCGTCCGATAGAATAAGTACAGTCGTATCGATCATATTTTATGAATATAGTGTTCAAGACCCCATTTTATATTTAATAAAGCAACTTTTCACAAAGATGACTGCAACTAGATTAAGTATGCATAACACATCTAGATAAAGACAGAAAATGCTGTTATATATTAGGTAAAATTAGTAAATAGACTCTTTCTGTACAGCAGAGACGAGGGTTTTGTATCCAGAAATGTCTTCTTAGCAAATTAGCTTCCGTTCTATATTATGCATGCAAAACAAAGCATTTAAACTATCTGGGGATCAAATTCGAGTCATATAAACTAACGCTATCGTATATAATGCTCTAATCAGACCAAAAATACAAACCTTTTAACGCAGAGCTGTATTGTTTACAACCGTGTCCATATTCTGAAATGCGCATGCGCTACTACGCTTGCTGTAGGCTCGTTGCTAAGAGACGAACGCTAAACGAACCAAACTGTCAATTACATCTAACAAACCCCGCCTCCTCAAGTTTGATTGGTGGCATACGTAATTCAAAGAGTAGCTACATATCCTATTGGATCAATCTGCTGTCACTTACACAGACGCCACGCCCATCCAAACGCGCTCAAGGAAACCAACGACAGCGTTTCCTTCTCTTGTTTACCAACAGCAAGTTGTAAAGCTGTGGTTTGGCTCTGCTGATACTTTCGAGATGGTAAGTATAGTTTAGGTTACTTTTAAAACTTTGTGAATGAATTCACGTCAGCATAAACTAGTTAAAAGGTTAATACGCTGTTTGTTAGCCTGTTAGCTTGTTGACGTTCTTATGGAAACCAACACTGACTGTCGCTCACTTCATTTGTTGAGATAAATGGCGAAAACAACGCGATTTATTTAATATTATGATGTATACACATTTATTGAGGCACGCATATTCCAAACTGTAACTTACAAGCAAAGTGTGTTTGCTTGAATCTAATTAATTAAATGTGTGATAATGAAAAACTAATCCAGTTCTTACAGCCTCCACCAAATACAGATTACCAAGTAACGTTAACAGAACTTATCTAAACGCGATTTAATTAATTAACCTTTCTTTATTCCTGCAAGGAAAGAAAAGAATATATATATATATATATATATTATACACACATACACATCCATTAAATATATGCTTTATTGCTTTAAACATAATATAAAATATCTGCTTTATTAAGTACATATATATATATATATATATATATATATATATATATATATATATATATATATATATATGTGTGTGTGTGTGTGTGTGTATATGCAAACCCACATGCATTACGCACGCACGCACACACACAGATAGATGGATGGATGGATGCATTACATGTCTGTGAAATGTGTGAATATCCCAAAATTGCTTAGAATAGTCTATATAGTATATGCATTTATATGAATATGTCTGTATGTGTGTATTTGCGTGCATTATAGGTATATCTGTATATGGGTATATTAATTTAGATATGTATGTATGCATTAGGGATGTACACGGGTTTGTGTATTAGTGTATTATGTACTCATGTAGATGCACGAATGGAAGTTATTTAGTATATTTACTATTTTAATATGTTCGAGACGAGTGTGTGTGTGGGGGTAAGGGAATTGGAGGTGTTTTTAAATTTGTAATGTGGTCGTTGTATGGTAAACCAGATCTATTTGTAATTAATAGATATTCAGGATTTGTGAGATTAAGGTGCTGTAACACCTTAATTTCCCCTCTTGGATTAATAAAGGAAGTCATAAAACATGCAGAAATACAGTATATACAAAAAGTTTAGTCTGATTCTATGGTTATTTTATGATCATTTCAAACAAAACTCACTAAAACAGCATGATAACGCCCTCTGGTGGAAGCATGGCTGAATCTATCTCTGTCTTCATGTTTTACAAGGCGTCCAGCTTCAGGAAACCCAGCGCCACAGCGAACCAGCGGAAGAGAGCAGGTCCCAAACCAGAGCTGACCGAGGAACAACGGCAGGAGATTAAAGAGGCGTTCGACCTGTTCGACACAGACGGGTCTGGAAGCATAGATGTGAAGGAACTGAAGGTAGACAGGGCTTGAGACCTGTATCTCTCACGTTAGTTATAGACGGGGAGAACGAGACCGCATCTGAACTGAGTAAATCGTTGTGTTCATCGTAACAAAAAGTGAACGGTCTTGATATTTAACTCCTTTTTCGGGATTTCTAGGCGTTGTATTTCATCTTGTGTTATTATTAAACTTGATTTCTAATAACTTGAGTGTTTTTCTGTGTGAATCGGAGTGACTGCGGTGCTAATAGAGTCTAATGAACACGCAGTCGAGCACAGAAGGTCAACGGACAAACTTCGTGAAATTATACATTCAATTCCGGTTTATTTTCCCCAAAACCGTATCGTATAACACTTGAAATATACAACACGTGTAACATCAGATCATTCTGTGATACTTTTGCGTCTTTTAAGTCTAAGTTTAAGCCTTTTGAGGCTTGAAAAGGAAAGAACAGGATACGGCATTAGACGAGTAAATGAGGACAGTTTTCATTTCAGGGTGAACTGTCCCTTTAAGACACTACAGGTTATTACAGTAAAACAATTAACTAATAGATATTGCAATTCTTCCCCAGTTGATTGATTACATTAGATATTACAAATATTTTTTTGTAAATAAGTTATGTTTAAATGAGAGGTTGTGTAATTGAATGTGCACAATTTGCATAAATCACAATGCCAAGATAAACGTGGATAAAACCAGGTTCAAGATTCTTGTTTCATTTTGTTGACATTAGTTGTAAGCCATAATCATCAAAATTATAACACATCAAATATCTCACTTTGCATGTAATGAGTCTATATAATATATTAGTTTCACCTTTCAGGATGAATTACTGAAATAAATGAACTTTTCAGCTGTACCACTAACAGGCTGTTTGACTTGTTCCCATAGGTTGCTATGCGAGCTCTGGGGTTTGAGCCAAAGAAAGAAGAGATAAAAAAGATGATCGCTGATATTGATAAAGAAGGATCTGGCGTTATCGACTTCAATGATTTCCTTTCGATGATGACACAGAAAATGGTAAGTCCTGAGCTAATAACCCCTGTAACGTTACACCTCAGATGATGATGTCAGTATTTCTCATTAATGTGAAGTGAACCCATCAGACTTGCCAATCTGGAACTGGTGTTACACCACTGTGGAATATATGTTCGGTGTGCAGGACTGTTTTTCACACGAGTTCAGAACAAGCCGATGAAGAACTTACGGTTGTTTTTACAGAAGTGGCTCATCCGAGTGGATTGAACTGAAACTAGCTATTTTATAATGTTATTTTATCACTGTTTTTGCATTGATTTCTAAAAAAAAAAAAAAAAAAAAAAGCATCATTTGATATTTTGGTTTCTATACATTAAGTTCGCAACTTAAATGAAATTAGTATGTAAAGTAGTATTTCATTTAATAGATTATCCAAAAATAGGCTTTAACATGGTTATGTAATTCGTATTATTTCAGTGTTATTTTTGTTTAACTATAATTTTATACATTTTTCGGTTTTTTAATTAGCTTTTATTTTTTATAATTTTAGTTTTTTTTTTTGTCATTTTATTTGTTAAATATTGCTTTTTAGGTTTATTTTATTTTTATTTCAGTTTTAGTTCTTTTTTTCTGTATTTCCAGTTATTAAATTTAGTGCTTTAACTTACACTCATTTCAGTTTATTGCCACATTTCTAATTTTCATTTAGTTTTTAAACTAACATTTATAATATTATGGGTGTAACATTGCCCTCATGTCATGATTCGATACATATCACAGTACTGAACTCACGATACGATATTGCGATACTTCGAGACATATGATAAAAGATTAACAAAAAATGGACTGTTGATTAAAATGCTAAATCGGTGTAAATGAATAAGCTTTGGTCCTGATAACCCAAAGCACAGGACAATAGAGACACCAGAATAAACATATTCATGACTCTGAAGAATTATTTTAGATGAAAATACTGTTCTCTGTCACTGACTAGATATATTTAAATATATTGGCATTAGGACCCACAAATATTCCTCCATTGCATTATTATACATCATAATCAACATTATATATAGTAGTTTGATGTAGTACTGA